ATGTTCTTTTTTGCTTTTGTTGACATTTATTACCGAATGGATAGCGATTAGATCGGTCATATGAATAATAACATTTCAAAAGATTGTCGTTGTATTTAATAAAGAAGGTTTAAATTGATCTGGTTGATGTTTTAGAATTTTAAGACATGAACACAGTTAATCTATACTACTAACCAAGTCTCTGACTTCCGATGAATAAGCTTTCACACACATATATATCATAAATCAAAATTCGACAGTGATAGTTTAAGAATAATTGATTCTTTCATTACAAATCGCATGGATGATTATGAGGATGTTGAAATAAGAAAAGTAACAAGATCTTCAAAATAAAAATATTTATATGAAATTTAATAGTGTAAGTTAACACGAGTTTGATTTTAAGATTTAAAAGAAAAACTTTATTCGGTTCGGTACAGCATTACTCTATACTCATCAAGAAATGTTATCTAGTATTATAATACAAAAGAAAAAAGAATCATCACATACATATTTCGAAGAATTATCACATTATGATCCATATAATCCATACATGCCCATAAATGATTTCATTTTTGGCACATGAATATATATTTCTATTGTGAACGTATTCATCTGCCGGTTATTTTCCGAACAGACTTGTTGTTCGGATTGTAGAAATTTATCTAAAAGTTTCATTATAGAAATAAAATCATAAAATTATTTGTTCTACAAGATACTGTATTATGAAATTTATTACACTTTAAAATTTCACCTGCAGATGGCAGACACTTCTGTTTCATAAAATTGATTTGAAACTAAAGTAAATAGAAAAAGAAAGAGGCATGTAGTAAGTAACTGATCATTGCATGGCAACATATTAAATCGAATCTCATTTAATCAATTCTAATTTTGCTCGATTAAACACAATAATGTCGTCCTCTGTATCAGTTAAAATGCAAAAACTAGGTGTTTCTTTTCGTCCGCCAACTATATTTCTATTTTATACAGATACATCAACTGGTAAATTACGTCGTCGTACAGTTCCTCTGGATGATTTTACTAAAACTACAAATATAACTGATTATGCAAATGAACTTCACAATGATAAAACAACTAAGAAACGAAATCTATTTCGGCATATTCCAATACGACGTCTTGAACGTCTTTTATTTGTTTTGAAAGAAGGTCTTACAACAAATATGTCTAAAACTGATATTGAAAAAAAATTAAATAAATTTGATGAATTAGACACAAATGAAGATTTAAATAAACTTGATGATGATACATTAAAACATAAAAAACTTATTATGAATGAAACATATGAAAAAAATCTTATTGATCCATCATCGAAAGATTTTGTTTACGATGTAGTTGTAGATTTTGAACCAACTCCAGGAGAACCACAAACATCGGAATGGGATTCAACAGATGAAATAGAAGAAGATATAAAACAAGAAAATGATGACGATGACGATGATGATGATGATTTTAAATGAAAATATTTATTAAGTATTCAGTTTTTTTGTTTATTTGTGCAATGTAATTTCGTATTTAATCATAAAATATAAACTGTCGATCTTTCAAAATTTGAGCAACATTTCTTTGTTCTTTTTTTATTGTGATTGAATAAATCTTATACAATCACCTTTCAAAAATGCTGATTTTCATATACACAAACAATATTTTCATAGGAAAACTTGAAAAAAAAAATAAGTTTATAAAAATTAAAATATACTAACAGCATCAAGTTTTGTCAACTGAAAATTTATCCGATAATTTCTTTTTATTTTATTCATCATATGATTAACGAACGATATAGGCATGAGTTTTGAAGTATACTGTTTCATTGTAGAGAGAGAAACACTTACTTCCAATATGATAGTGAAGCACCGTAAATGGGGGATTTCGACCATGAGAACTACAGTTTGAAATGAAACGAACATCAAATACAGCATCAGAAAAAATAATTTGCATCGAATAGTATGCTCAATACTTGAAACCAAATTTGTTAAACTTCAGCTCTTACACTATTTCACTGATTTTTTTCGAATAATATAATGTGGGACCTCCTTAATGTCGAGATTAGAAAAAAAATTCATTTTAAGCATTGTATATATGATTCGATACAAATTATTCTATTGATTCTGTATTTGATGTTTGTTTCGCCTGCAACTGAAGTTCTGATGATCAAAATCTCTAATTTCTGGTACTTCATTATCACATCGAACAAAATCAATTTTCTCAACAATCAAATAATTCTTTTTTTCTAAATCATGCGTAAATTTTTCCCCTAATTGCATGATGAATAAAATCAAAAAAAAACATATCGAATACATATTGAGATTACCAAGAGTTTACGCTTATAGTCTATTTTAATTTTTATAAACTTATTTTCCTAGTTTCTCTATAAAAATATCTGTTGTTTATTTTGAAACCAACATTCTTGAAAACATAACTCGATGAGATCCATACATCCATGACACAAAAAAGGTCAAAAAAATGTTGCATAAATTTCGAATTTCCGGCACCTTATTGTTCAATTTTTCTCGATAGAAACATCTGAAAAAAATGTGATAGATGAGTATTAGCATGATCAACAGTGAAGTGGAGTTAAATGAAAAATTAAACATGTTTTTTTTTTTCTTCTCAGTTTTTGTTGTTTCTCAACTTTATAATAAAATCAAGCCAAAGAATTTCCTCAAAATGTATGTGAAAAAAAATGAGTAATAATCAAAAAATAGACATATGTCAAAGATCAAGTCTCATATTCATTCATGTTATCTTCGTCTATTAGTTGAGCTGAATAAATTTCAATATTTGAATAAGAAAAAAACTAAAACTAGCTTGTTGAAATATTAAAAGCATCAATTATGCATCTTAATAAAAAGATCACAAAGTTTGTTTAGCCATCATCTTTTATCAGAATAACATAATTAAAGAATAGTCTATTAGTTTTCAAAATATGATTAATGATCTCAATCAACGATGAATGATGCATTCGACAAAAAACTTGACAACATTATGTATTAATAAAATCTTATCAAAATCAAGATTCTATTTATAAATAACAGGAAAATTTCTCAATATAAAGATTTAAGAAACACTTAAATTGATTATATAATATGAATTATAATTGAAGATTAAGTTTTTAAATAATAAACAAATATCGAACACAAACTGTATTCTTTTTTTTTTGTTTTTGTTGATCATCAAAGTTTAGAGAAAAAAGAGCTTGGTAAATAGATTATTCATTCGGAATACATTATTTGCTCTGTCTATAATATGACATGAATTAAATCTATCAATCAATTAATATAAAGGACACAATCACACAATGTACTATATTTAAAAAAATTATCAGAGACTTAGATCATATAATACACATGACTTGATCCTCGTCTGGTACATTGCTGCATTAGTATGATTTTTTTACCTTCTGCTTTCTTATTTAAATATGTTACATTAGAAATTGTGCCAGCAGATGTAGCAGAAATTAAGCTTACTATAAGAACTTCACGATAAATTAGTCAATACGCTGCTAATTCATCTGTAAATTGAGATGCTAATAGCAGAATCCTGCAGAACAGTCGGGATTTGGAGCGACATAGACAAGAAAATAGTGTTAGTTTTTTGTTTTCTCAGTCGTATTGTGTAATCCACCGGTTTATTATTTCTGTACAGACTCATGTATATGCTATATGGTTCTGAATGTTTTGTATTTCATCAGTCAACACTATTCTAAAATAATTGAATGAGTTTTATAAGGAATTAAATTATATTTCATATTGTTTGTGGTCTAATATGTATATATATATATCTCGAAATTATTTATTCATTAATTAAATCTAAAATTTTTTTCTGCGTCATTGTATATAAGATTTTTTGATCAACAAAACTTATAATTGAAATGGTTTATCTTTCCAAGTTGAATACATATGGACATAGAATTAGGTCTAGTCCTTCAGAGTTTTCATGACACCATTCTATTTGCTATAAATATCTGATTCCATTTAAGTAGTTATGTGATGTCGTAGTAAACTATATAGAAATAAAGTGTATTTCAAGAAAACATCTAATAACACTTGTTTCTTTGTTATATATAGAAAAAAACAATTTAAATTTTACATTTATTGATAAAAAAAAAAACTTTGCTAAAGGTCAAATGACACGTAAATATAACAATCCTAGGTCACAGTGCATAAATATTTTCCTTTTTCATGATATGTGATACTCATTAAATCATTAAAAAAAATCGAGCGTAGTTTTACCCGTGCATTTACTCGATAGTTTCACGTAATGGAGATGAATGAAGCAAATGTTTTGATATATCACTAGATAAACACTAAGTTTATTTTGACATCAATTTTTTAATTCAATCATTTACTTTACTAATAGTATGTACTAATTAATACTCGACAAAATATCAAACTTTTCATGGTTTTATCAATGACTTTCGATTGGTCTTGGTAGATGAAATCTACATTTGATTGCTTGGATATACCATATATGTTTTGAATTACATTAATATAGTTATGTAAATTGACAAACCAATAAACAAAAGCGATTATTTTCCATTTTGAAAGTTTCCTAACATATACATTTACAACCTTGATCTACACAATATGTACATCGACAACTACAATTCATAGCATCAATCAATTAATATAGAAAATGAAATGAATATTCAAAATTAAAATTATTTTTATTAATCAATAATACAAACAAAAAAGTCAAAGAAACCAATTAAATGAATACAATAAATAAGTGATTATTGTTTTCCTTGAAATAATTATATACAAATATCTTCAAATGAAAATTTTTATTGCATGCTGTAAAACTAAGTCGGTAAAAGATAATTGAGATTGTATGACAATAAGAATGACGTTAGTTTACTACAATTGACAGTAACACGCACAATCAGTTCAAATATATAGACAAGTAATATTATCACAAAAACAGATAATTTGATATTCTCCCTCATATTTCCTTTCCAAAACTATCGTTCTATTCATTCTATTAGTTTAATCAATTCTGCATTCATGTCAAACTCAACCAGTGATTTTACAATAGCTTTAATTGATAATATATCTTCACAGCTTAATCATTATATAACATTATTTGTTTTTATATTTGGTATCATTGGAAATTTATTAAATATTATCGTACTTTCACAACCAATCTTACGTCGTAATCCATGTGTTTTTTATTTTCTTGGTTCATCTGCAGCTAGTCTTGGAATTATTCTTATTGGCCTTCCATCACGTATGATTGCTGGAAACGTATCATCAGATCCAACAAATACTAGTTCTTACTTTTGTAAATTACGTATTTTTCTTCTTTATTCATTTCGAACAACATCTACTTGGTTATTAGTATTTGCTACTATAGATAGATGGTTTTTAAGCAGTACTAAAATTCATAGACGTCGTTTAAGTTCACATAAAATTGCTTATTATAATATTATTATTATTTGTTGTTTATCATTTATTCTTTGGATTGAAGCAATTTTCTGTTATGATGCTGATATTGATCAAGCACCTATTAGATGTTATGGAAAATCGAATAGTTGTCGAATATTTAATGATATTGTATACGCAAGTTCAACGGTTGCTATACCATCATCGCTTATGTTAATATTTGGACTTTTAACTATTCGTAATATTAATCGATCACGTCGAACATCTCGCGTATTTTTCAGTCCTATTTCAAGTGTTGGTCAAGGTAGTAGTAAAAGACGAAGAAGAATTCGACGCACAGAAGTTTCTCTTACTTGTATGTTACTTCTACAAGTCATTTCATTAACACTTTGTTCAGTACCACAAGCAATACATCAATTCTATTTAACTTTTACAATTGATATGGATAAAAATCCATTACATAAAGCTATTGAAAATTTTATTGTTAATTTTAATTTTTCACTTACATATGTTGGAAATGCAATTCCTTTTTATATTTATACACTTAATAGTACTGCATTTCGTCAAACATTTATTCGTCTTATTCATTCAACCATTCGACAATTGAAAATATATTCATCTTCAATTTTGACTCGATTGATTGTCTGTCTTTTCATCATTTCTTGCCAAAGATAATTGCCAATACAATTATTATATTTGTATCCGAAAGAAAAAACAAGAAAAGAATACTATAGACTTTATTAATATAAATAGATTATCTATGACATATATAATAGAATCGATTTTGATTGTCAATGTTATAATTGTTGTGTTGTTTTTATGAAATAAAATTTATAAAATTGAATTAGTCTTTCGTCTGGAAGTTTCAAATATAATTGGACTTAATATGGTTTTTTAAATCATATGTAAATACAAATAAAGACTTTCAAACAATTCATTATATAGAAAACTAATAATTTCATCTCTATAATTAATCTTGAAATTTCACTATGTTAGATATATGTCATCAGAACATTTGTTCTTAATTTAGAAAGATAAACTATAGCAAGTTCATCATCAGGAAAAAAACAGTTAATGATAAAAGATTTTTTTAAATATACTATTTTCATCACCAGATGGTTTTGTCGGAATCAATTAATTAACTACAAATGAATAAATAATTTATTTTATTATTTCCGGTATAAAAATGCAATAAACTTAAACAATAATTTTTTCAACCAATAATAAATTTTAAATAGAACTATATTAATTGTTCTCATTTTTCAAAATAGTATATTTTCTAACTTTAAAAAAAAAAAACAAAGCTCAAAATTATCATGTGTAAAAATAGTGTTCTTCAAATATTGGGAAATCTTAACTTTTATTTGCATATGTTTTTAGAGTATAGGTTAAAAAATTATCATTGAATACTTTATAGATTCGAATCGATTGTTATTTAATATTATATAAGTTTGTCTATACAGATTGATTACGTTATTTTTAATAGTTTTGTGTAGTTTGCGATATTTACGTAGAATAGTGGAAGTTTCGTATTTTAACACAATTGGATAGAGCATCGACTACTCTATCGAACCATATAATTTACATTTTATTTACTCTGGCTCTAGACCAAAAAATTGGTATATCTCATTAAATTACAGCTCTCCCACAGGTATATGTCATGTCCAGGCTTGCCGACTAGGAGGGGGGGATTTCCCCCCGCTAAATTCGGATCCTTTCTGCTAATTTTTTTCCGCTGTATTTCTACGTTTTTCTGCTGAAAAATATTTTTTCTCGCTTTCGTACAACCTATATATAAACAAAATTTAAGAAGATGAATTTCTCAAAATTTCCTCTCCGCGATGCATGCATACTTATTGATTAGTGGTAGCAATGCGAACAGTTTAGTCATTTTATCCCTCTTTCTGGCAAAAATAGATAGATAGCATCAAGAATATATTTTCTGCAAAACTCCCGCAGAAAATCAACTTGAGAGTACTTTTCTTTGGCAGAAAGCTCATATGTAATATTTGCCTAAAATTTTTGGTGAATTTCGGTCTGCTTTACTGCTCATTGTCGGGTTGTGATTTCAGCTATGTCCAATATACGACGTGTAAAAGTGAATTGAACTTATTTTATTCAAAATAATTTATATTTCAATGAACCCATTCGTCATCGGCACAGTGAACAATAAATATGTTATATATAAAGTGCTGCCAATGCGAATTTCAAGCAAAATTTTTTTTTTCACCTTTCTTTTACATCATTTGATAGAGTGTGAGCTGCTGATAACGAAAAACTACTTTTTAGCGCCAGAAAATGCTTTTTCCGGATCGAAAAATACCAAAAAACACATCGTTTTCAAAATGTGCAAACTTTTCTGCTTCCTTCTTTTTTCCAGCGTGTAAAGATATTTTTTTCAAATTCAGCATAAAAAACTGAGTACCGACAAGTTGTTAGATCGAGTCCAATCTAAAGAATTTTTTGATGATGGTGTTTCGAATCGCGCCGAGTGCAATACGTATACGCCGATTTTGTAAGCCCATCTAGTTTCTTTACGTAAGAGATGAAGTCAAATATTTTATCTCATTTAACTCATCATACCATCAGTTACAAAAGAACGCATCGCATTTTTTTTTTCTTTTTTTTTCTTTGTTGAGAACTGTTTTTCTGAATTTTGGGCTAAATAGATAGAATTTGACTCGTCTTTCTCCATTTTCTTCATAAAAACTAAGCTTTCGTGCAATAACCTTATCATGCTCGGAAGCACCGCGAAAAACTGAATCGATTAATGTATGTTTCGAAAAATTTCGTTACCTTTAATTTTTTGATGAAAATTTCAGCCAGGTCTTCTCCGAAAACTAAAAAACTGAAGTCAATGGAAACGGTTAAATCATATATCAATCGATTCAGTTTTTCGTACTGATTCCGAATATGATAAGATTATTGCATGAAAACTTAGTTTTTATGAAGAAAATGGAGAAATACGAGTCCAATTCCATCTATTTAGCCCAAAATTCAGAAACATAGGTTTTTCTCAACGAAGAAAAGAAAAGAAAAAAGACGCGATGCGTTCTTTTGTGACTGGTGGTATGATGAGTTAAATGAGATAAAACATCTGACTTCATCTCTTACTTAAAAATCTAGATAGGCTTACAAAATCGACCAATGCGTATTGCACTCTGTGTGATTCGAAGCGTCATCATCAAAAAGTTTTTTGAGATCGGAGTCGGTCTAATAACTTGTCTGCACTCAGTTTTTGATGCTGAATCAGAAAAATATATCTTTAGAAGCTGGAAACAAGAATATAGCAGAAAATTTTGCATACCTTGAAATAGTTTTTTTTCGAAAAAAACGACGTCCTTCAAGTTTTTCGTGATCAGCTACCCACACTCTATCAACTTATGTAAAAAAAAGGCAAAAAAAATTACTTGAAGTTTGAATTGCTCGCACCTTAAAATGTCTTCATTTTTTGAAAGTTTAAATATATTTGGAAGTGTCTTTGCTTTTTGACGAACATGATCTTGTTTGTTACTCTGAAAAGATTTCTCGATGCACTAAAAATTGTAAAAAAATTGACTTTCTGCCAAATTTTTATCCCCCCTCCTAAAAACAATCGACAACCCTGGTCATGTCTTTTCGCTTCCGTTTTCATTTGATCGTCTCGAATGGATTGGCAATACGTTTCCAAATATTACTTTTAATCATGTTACTTGTTTACAGGTCTTCGATTCGGTTGCATTTAAACATGAATTCTTCATTCGAATTGCACGATCTTTCCCATTGCTTCAGGAGTTCTTTGTTTTAAATTGTACATCGCAATTCTTGTTTTGGAATTGGAAAAACTTGCAATTTCAAGATTATCAATCATATTCAATTGTTGAATTTCCTCATCTTACATCACTTAACATAAGCCATGCAGAAATTGATTATGTTGAACAATTTCTTAACAGCACTAAAACTTATGTACCTTGTTTCACTAAATTGGAAGTAAATTATGACAACTTGATATATGTGACAGAAAACTTTACAAGAGATGCAACACGAGTCAATTGTGCTAAAGTGAAATGGTTAATTGTTGAAAGGTCAATAGTTTATTTGAAAGATGTTCATCTTTACTTTCCTTCATTACAAATGTAATTGTGATGTAGTAGTACATGATCATGTGTCTTTTCTGTTTTGTTTTTCCTATTTCTTTTCGTTCTATCTTGGCAGCATGCCAAAAGTATATGAGTGAAGAGCACAGCCATTGTACCGTTTAAGCAAAAAAATCGATAAAAATAAATTTAATAATGAGAGAGAACTAAGTGTTGGGTTTGACAGAGCGATGTCGATTGTACATGAAAATAATATTTTCCCAACACTTCCTTGTGTTTTTGTGGAGATTCACGATATAAAACTAAGTGAACGCAATGATAATGGTTTTCACTTCAAAATAATGATTTTTTGAAGAAAATATTCAGAAAATGTTTATTATATCATACACGTTAGTATGAAACAATTCGTGGCACAGAGCTAGCTCATATATGTTATTTTCATATATCAAGCAGTTTTAATGAATCATTGCTTCGAAAAATGTCGCCCTACGTTTTCTAGTAAAGTTGAATTTTCTTCAGAACGGAGCGATATTTTCAATTGAGTTTTTGGAATATTACTCTACTCTACGATCCTGAACAAAGATCAAATTTTTGTTGCAAACATTTAAGTATTCATTGAGCTATAGCAAAAACAAAATTAAAAATGTCGCTCTACATTTCGTCTAAAATTCATTTCTTTTATCTTATATAAAATTTTTCGCTAACGAACTTTATGGAACAAACCTCTTTTATTTCTCAAATTATTTTTATCTTAGTTCTCTCTGATATCCAACTAAATTACAACAAAAAAATTTCTCCAAACGAAACGCCAATAATTTTAACGTCGCCCTACGCAAAAATGAAAAAGTGTCTCAACGCCCATTATCAACAGTTTTTCATTCATAAGACTTTCTCTAAAGCTAAAAATAAAGGCATATTATAAAAGGTCTTGATGAATACTACAACTCCAGCTGCAAAATTAATTTTAAAAAAAAGCAGTGGAATAAAAGAAAATTGGTTTTCTTCTGACAGGTGGCATTAGAAGCTAGGTATTTAACACTGTTGCTATAATCTCTCGGAAACTAAAACACGTGGAAAATTGATTTTTTTCAGAAGTGAATGACCATCCTTAGACCAGTAAAATAAAAAAAAATTATTAAAATCGATTGAGCGGATCTCGACTTATAAGCCTTTTTCCTTTGCAGAACACAACGGTACAATGGCTGTGCTCTTCACTCATATGCATAAAATACAAGATGATGTCTATTATTGTGAATTTTTCACAATCGAAATATGGTCGATCAAACATGTTTTATATTGCATCAGCATATAAAATACATAATAGAGTGGTTATTTTTGTTTTTATTTGTAAAGAAAAAAATATTTCTCAAATTCAAAACAGACTAGGAATGGTAATAGAGTTCATGTAAAAGTATGAACATTACATCAAAATCAATGGCTTCAACATAATAAAATTCAACAAGATAAAGGCGAATACATTCACACATGTTCCAACGATTAGAAAACAAGAAAAACAAGAAAATATATTTTAACCAATGTGACTCAACTACAATAAACAAGTCTTCTTCTTCTTCTTATGACATCATTCTTGTGTATGCATTTTGAAGGCAGGATTTAATATTTTTTAAGTTCGTATAAAATTTTTTCATAATGCCTCAAGATCACAGGACACCAAAGAGGGTGGGTGGGTGTGGGTGTTACTATCGTCATTGATACCCACACTCCAGACCCACACCCACACCCACATCCCACACCCACACCCACACCCCACACCCACACCCACACCCACATCCCACACCCACACCCACACCCACACCCCACACCAACACCAACACCCACCACACCCACACCTACCCACACCCAATGTGGTCCGCAGAAGTGTCATGCGCGGAAGTGCCGGCAAATTCACAATTCATTGGTGAATAGTAATCAATCAATGACGTGATTGTTATTTCACGCAATTAAAGAGAATATCTCTGTGAAATAAGAATGACATCATTGATTGATTATTATTCACCTTTGAAGTGTGACGTTATTTCAATTTTTAGTAAACAAAGCAGTGTATTCTTTCCACAGTTTTGTTATACATAAAAATAGAAATGATGATGATGTCATTCATATACATGCATGTTTTTCTTGACTCATTATTAGTCTCTTTTTTTCTATCATCATCTATATAAAGAAATACTTTTGTGTTTCTGAGTTCATTTATAGCTTTTATACTTGATTGTCTAGTGTTCACAACAAACATGTAAGCAATTCTTACAGATATAAAAATAATATTTAGATAGCTTTTGATTATTATTTGAAGACGATCAATGGTACTCTATACAAACAAAAGCAATGATTTTGAAAGCATTCCATGTTTGTCTGTCAACAATTCTATTCATTTATAGTTTAACAGCAAATGCTATTGAAACTACACCAGTGGGTACAATTGCTATGTATGCAGGTATAGATCCACCATCGAATTGGTTAAGATGTGATGGTTCAAATGTATCCAGAAAAACTTATGCAACATTATTTGATGTAATTGGTACTTTATATGGTGTTGGCGATAATGTAAACACATTTACATTACCTGATTTCCGTGGTCGATTTCCATTAGGGTTAGATCGTAATCAAAATCAAAAGGTTGGTGCGAATCAAGGGGGAAATTCAAATCATACACTAACAGAATCTGAACTACCTTCACATCAACATAATCAAGGAACATTACTGATTTCAGATAGTGGAATTCATACACATGCATATGATGATCCAGGACATAATCATGGTGGTCAAACAGGTGACAGTGTCATGGGAGGTGGTGATAGAGGTATGATACGTGGTGGTGGTGCACATGATTATGGACGACATACACATACAATTAACACTGATACAGTACGTATACAAATTCGTAATAGTGGAACTCATTCACATAATATAACAGGTTTAACAGGCTCAACTGGTACAAATCAATCATTTAGTTTAATGCCACCATGGCAAACAATTGATTTTATTATCTATACAGGAAATAAATAACACACTTTTTCATCTCTTTTTTTTTAATGATTGTTTCTCTATGCAAATTCTTCTCATATTATAAAGTCTCGAAATAAATTTTGAAAAATGACATCATATGTCGGTCAATAAGAAGAACCATAGTTTTCTGAAATGCTTGCGACTTTTACAAATCCCTTTAGATTCATTAATGCACTTTTTCGACTAAGGTGCATCGATATTCGTGGGATTTCATTATGATATGTGCGTAACTAAATTTCATGTTCTTGTTTACGTATGTACGAAAATAGTGTTCTCAGTTGACAATTGCATACGTAGATATTCTTTCATATAAATCGCAAACCTTTGTAGATCACATCTTTCGATGTTTGAATCAAATATACAACTTCCTAACGTCTATCATATTTTCTCCTAAATAACCCATATATACTTCCACATTTTCAGTTTGTCTAGAGGCATCATCAATAGATTTATTTAATCAAAAACAACAGAGTGCTAAAAGAGACTATGTCAATAATAATGGAATTCCCAGCATCTGTATATTTCTCAAATCAAAGTTGATTCAACACTCATATTGAGCACACATTAAAAAGTATCTTCTACAATGTAATCAAGTTTCAGTATCATTAGTGATATTCATTTCTTTTTATTAGCTAAAAGAAACAGGAAAGACTAATTAAGAGCAATACACTAAAAAAAGCCTGATAAGAGAACTTCGACCATGATTGGATCCTTTTTTCTACGAGAAGTAATTGATTCAAATTGTCATGTAGATTTTACATAGGATATTTTTTTCCAAAGTTTCCCGAAATTCAAATAAAAGTTGTGTCTCAAACGATTTCTCCAACTTACAAATATGAATATGCTCTAAAACTGACTTTTCACCAAGTTGGAAATCTCTAATCGATCTTTCAATTAGAAAAAAGTATTGCAGATTCTTTGAAGGCAAGTAAATTAGATTCATATCCATTATTCTATTAGGTTGGCAAGAAAATTTTTTGCGTTTTTTTCGAAAATTTTCTTTTTGTGTACATAAATAGTGAGTACACTATAGAATCGGTCAGTGTGTCCGGCTGGGTGTGGGTGGGTGTGAGTGGGTGTGGGTGTGGGTGGGTGTGGGTGTGGGTGTAGGTGGGTGCGGGTGTAGGTGGGTGTGGGTGGGTGTGGGTGTGGGTGAGGGTGTGAGGTCCGATTGAAGAAATGAAGAACACCCACACTCACACCCACCCACACCCACACCCACACCCTGTTAAAGATTTCATCATAGATATTTTGTATCTAAACAATATGTTCAATATGGTTTTTTATATGTCCAAAGAAAGTAAATTCATTATATCGTACACTTCTTAGGTATACTTCTTTATGAATGTTTCATATGAAATCGAGAAAAAAATTTCCTATATTATTTCATAGAAAAACTCTACCAAAAACGTCATTGCTATAAATAATTCTTTGGAGATTTTAACCTTCATTTGAATATATATATGGTACTTTAATGAGTAAAAAATATTTTTTTTAAACATGGAAACCTTGTAATAAAAAAATATGTGATATATTTCTTATCGTTAGTAGAATCTGCTATCAATTTCTTTATTATCAATTTGATGGTGTCTTTAACACATTCGACCCGATGTAACCCACCGGTGGGCTACGCTATAGTTTAACGAGAAACTGTATAGAAAAGCATTTTCTTTTGCTTTTTTCTTAAGTAGGAGGCTAAATATAAGGAGTCAACTGTGCTGCCTTTAGTACTTTATTTGAGTTCTTTACTCCATAGCATAAAGCTTATCATTCAACACTCAAGACAAAAAAAATTATCACAGTCAGAACAGAAAGTTTTTACTTTCTTTGCTGCCGCACGGCTGGGTATGGGTGTGGGTGTGGGTGTAGGTGTGAAAGTGGGCGTGAATGTGGATGAATATGTGAATGTCTACACCCACACCCAGCCGTGCGGCAGCAAAGAAACTAAAAGCTTTCTGTTCTGATTGTGATAAATTTTTTTGTCTTGAGTGTTTTAATGATAAGCATCCTGCTATGGAGTAAAGAACTCAAATAAAGTACTAAAGGCAGCACAGTTGACTTCTTATATTTAGCCTCCTACTTAAGAAAAAAGTAAAAGAAAATGCTTTTCTATACAGTTTCTCGTTAAACTGTAGCGTAGCCCACCGGTGGGATACATCGGGTCGAATGTGTTAAGAATAACTTCATTAATAAACATATTGAATGATGACCTTTAAAAAACATGTCTCTATTACATAGTAGCTATTTGCTTGTTAAAAATTTGCATGATTCATCTACCTAACAAGACCTATATAATTGCATTTATATAGAAACACATAACTGAGATAAACAATTCGATAACTGATTTTTAATATATCTAAGTTCTATTGTATTTTGTCAAATAAATGAGAACAATAAAGTTGATAGGTCGATATTGATGTATCATCCAATTGACGATTTTCTACTAAAAAAATTCTGGAGAAAAAAAACACATGCATGTATACTGTCGACATTTTATTTTATGAAAAGATTTTATCAGTTCGACATGATTTAACTATATCGACATCATCAATAAAAGTTTATTTAATAAATAATTCAAATAATGTTGGATTGATACTAATTGATCAAAAGTTGATGTGTATATGTTCTAAAAGAAAAAAAATATGTTTAGTGAATGTTAAAAAATAATCCTCATATTTACTTTGTTCTTCTTTATGCTTGTTGAGTTTTATTTGAAGATCATTAATTTTGATATTCATTTGATCGGGTATTACCAAATTATTTTGTTTCATTCATCTGTATCTTCCAATAATGTTTTCAATTTTCTTTCACCTTGTTGAAACTAAAATAGGGTGTGGGTGTGGATGTACGTGTGGGTGTGTTGGTGTGGGTGGGTGTGGATGTGGGTGGGTGTGGGTGTGGGTGTGGGCGTGGGTGTGGGTGTGGGTGTGGATATGCTGTTCCTCATACCCACACCCACACCCTCACCCCACACCCACACCCCACAACCACACCCACACCCACCCACCCACCCACACCCTCACCCACACCCACACTCCCACACCCACCCACACCCTCACCCACATCCCACACCCACACCCACACCCTTTTACTAAATTTTTTTTCTAATGATCAAAGTCATATTACTTTGTTCATATTTAAGTTGTCGTAATTGACTTTGATGATTCGTAATTATTGGATGCAATTTGTCAATTTTAGCTTGATGATATTGTTTCATTTTGGTCCAATCGTAACGTAATTCTTTCAATGTTGTTTCTTCTAGACCAATCTAAAATGAAAGCTTATTTCCTTGAGTGCATTATGAAGCACTTCTTACCCATGTAGCTAATTCGTATAAACGACATATTTGCTTTTCTTCTTCTTTTGCTTTATCTTCATTATCTAATGATTTATATAAATCATCTAAAAACATATGTTTTACTAATTATTTTAAAGCAATCTTCATATTTACTTTGTTCTTCTTTATACTTGTTGAGTTTTGTTCGAACATCATTAATATTGATATTCATTTGTTTAGGTATTACCGATTTATTTTGGTTCATTTCGATAATATCATTCGATAATTTTTGCAATTTTCTTTCACCTTGTTGAATCTAAAATAAATATTTATATTTTATTGAGCATATTATGAAGCATTTCTTACCAACACGAGTAATTGATAAAAACGAAATTTTTTCTTTTCATTTTCGGTTTTTTCTTTTACATCTGTTAAATTTTCTAATAGATGATCTAAAAAAACAATATATTTTATTGATTATTTTAAAATAAATTTCATCATTTACTTTCTTCATTTTTATGTTCACGTAATTGTTTTTCAAGATCAATAATTTTGTTTTTGATTTTACAAATATTTTCTCCATCACGTTTATCAATTTTGGCAATATTATCATGCAATTTCTTTAAATCTTCTTCCTTTTGAAGAATCTAAAATAAAAATTTATGGTTTTTGTGAAGATTATAAAGTACTTTTTACTAATGCAGCTAATTGATATAAATGTATTTTTTTCTTTTCTTTTTCCTTTTCATTAACATCGACTAAACTTTCCATTATCTGATCTAAAACAAAACATGTTTTACTAAATTTTTTTTCTAATGATCAAAGTCACATTACTTTGTTCAGATTTATTTTGATTTAAGTTTTGTTCATGTTTTTTAATTACCTCATTTAATTCGGCAAATTTAGCTTCATAATATTGATGTTTTTTCGTGAAACCATGATTTAATTCATCAAATGTTACTTCTGCTCGAACAATCTAAAATAAAAATTTGTTTTCTTAAGCACATTATGAAGTACTTCTTACTTTTGTAGTTAATCCGCTTAAACGAGATTTTTCTGTTTTTTCTTTTTCTTTATTTAAATCGGCGAATTGTACAGATACATCAACTAAAAAAAAAATTAAATTTTACTAAATGTTTTAAAATGATATTCATCATTTACCTTCTTCTTCTTTATATTTGTTTAATGTTTGTTTAAGACCATCAATTTTATTATTTATTTTACTAAGTTCTTCCAATGATTGCTGTAATTCATTCTCGGTTTGAGGAATCTAAAATAAAAACTTATCTTTCATTAAGCACATTATTAAGTGCTTCTTACCAATACATCCAATTGATCCAAACGCATTGACAATATTTTAGGTGCTAAAGAAGACGACATGTTTTCGAAAGCTGAAGAACAATAATGACTATTTGTACATATGTACGTATGTATATATATACGTAGATAGCCATTGTTCTTCTTTACCGTTCTCCTCCACTATGTCGATATTTTTCCTCTCGTCTAGTTCGACTATTATTTTATCGAGATAAACTTACTTCATATTCTATTATACTTTTGTTCATATTTCTACCAATAAAAATGAATCATTCAATAACATCATCAAATAAATATCGTTTGGCTACTAGTAGTTTTCTATGTGATTAAGGAAAGTCTAAAAGGAATTCAGATTCGTGGCTTTGCTGTACGAAGATTTGACCTTTTACAATTATTCATCAAATAAAGATTGTATATTGACTTTTGAATCTCCACTTCTTGAAAAAATAAAAAAAAAAAAAGATTGTTCTTAGAATTGGAGACAGGAGACCTCATTTTAGGAACACTATAAATACGAACGTTTTTAGAATTTTCTGAGACTTATAGTGGTCTACTCATGGCTAGGATATGAAGTCCAATTAGAAGATGTATCTTTGTGGAAATCTCAATAGATATACTTGAAATCATAATAATAAAATTTGGATAAGAGCTGTTTTTGTGTACAGCTGCAATAATATAAGGGGCAGATTATGTGGCCACACTTTGCATATCTTTCCATTCCAGCTTTTACTCAGTTTATAGGTCTTATTAAAAAAGAAAATATGCTATTAAATATAGTGTGAAAAAGTGTACAATTTTTAAATAAAAGCCTAGTGATACTTTAGAGAAGGAACAAAAATTTCTCTTCGTATAAAAAGAATAATTCTTTTCGGGATAATCGGACAGAATTTTCCTTTTCTTGGAAACAAAAGTAAGCAATTAAAATAAGCGAGCTTGCAAAGATTTTAACGCCTTTCACGGTGCTTCTTGTGACGTATTGTTGCTAAATAATAGATATAAGGTGATAAAACGATGAAATAAGAAAAAGTCAAGTGAATTCATAGCAAAAAAAATATCGTTTTAGAACGATTGAAAATTGGTTACTCAACATTTTGCTTCTTATGAGAACAAAGAGTGTAACTATATAAAATAAGCCTTCCTATGTAAACTTCAGAGCTTTTCACGCTTCATCTAGTGGTATATTTTAGTTTTTCAACTAAATCTATTAAGTAATTGAAAATTGAAATCCAAAGCATGGCCTTTTTCTTGGTCTCACATATTGGCGAAGTTGTACACGAAAACAGTTCTTATCAAAATGTTACTTTTATCATAATAACTGAAAAGTGACGAATACACAGAAAAATAGACCATCGTTTTCTCTCTTACTACATAAAAAAAGAAAATCTATTCAAGCTTTTTATTAAAGAAATACGTTGATAATATCGCTACTTTTGGTATGCCCTAAGGATCTCATACTCATACTGTTTCTTACAACATATACTGAATCAAGATTAAGAATCGCGAAATAAAGAAGGAGGAAACCGTAAGCTGATTATTTTTTAGACTAAATATTTGAAAAGAGATAAAGTGACTACTGCAACAGCTCAAATTCGAAATAAGAAAAACAAATAAACTAACCTATTTCATTGTGTTGTTGTTCATGCCATATTTAAATATTGTTTTAATGTCACATTTCATTTGACGTTCCATTCACACTATTTTTGTGTCAAATCATCAATTAGTTTGTGTTTCATATAATTTTGTTGGCACCAATCTGTTGAGTGAATGTATTCATACAATTGGGAGATAGAGAAAAGGATCTGCCTTGATGTTCTTGCAAAATCTAAACTTTGTTATGAAACGAATGAATATAGTGAAGAGCTAATATATGGCTAAAGTAAAGAGATAGAGTATTCAGAAGAAGCAAAAAGACTTATCTAGGACATTAAATTTTCTTTCTCATCAAAGATCTTTCACGACGATCGCACTCTCTCACTGCAAAACAAGCTACAAAAATCTGAACGAAAATGTTTGGTTCTCTTCCTCATGAAAAGAATATAATTAAGATTAGAAGATATAACTAAAGAAGAGGGAATAAGACTTAAAAAAAGCATATCTAATAACTGTATTCACCAGAGATGCTTCATTATGAACCACATAAATAACTGAAGAAGAAGACACAAGGCTAACGAAAAATATTTCATTGCTCCTCTTACGGAAGGTATTCAATCAACATCAGAATATGTAACTCATGAATAAGCAAAAACATTTAAACGAAAATATTTGCTTGTCTTTCTCACAATGGACATTCAGTTATTATCACGCTAGGTAACTGAAGAACAAAAGAAAAAGAATTAACAGAAAACATTTCATTCTCTTTCGCAGGATAGATACTTAAGAGAGCGTCCATGAGAGCATCAAGCATACGAGGCACTCGATAAAATTTTTTTTTCGATTTTTTTTGCTCATTCAAAACTTCAATGTCTAAAACTACTAACCCTAAAATTTTAGGTTCTAATACTCTTCTTATGAAAAGTTAGCCAAGACCAACTTTTGGCACTATCGGGCCTTTTTGTGGAAAAATAAGAAAAAAATATTCTATCAAAGATCTGCTAGCTTGTGTTTCAGCAAATCATTGAAATTTTTTATAGCATACATAGAAAGATAGAGAATTGAAAACTGAATAAAATGAGCTAGGTTGATATAATAATGGCTAATAATTTAAGTTTTATAGAGCGAAAATGAGTCAAGGGGTGATCCTTTTGCTCAGTGCAAATAAACAGTATAACTCGTGCTGTGCTTCAGGATTAAGAGAACCCAGGCTGAATTTTATATATGTTGTGCAGTTTTTTATTCTCTACAAAATGGTAAAAAAATATTTGAGAAAAAGTTTTTGCTCGATGCAAAAAAGGGTTTATACTGTCTAATTTTTTATAGTTTTTGATGGTTTTTCGATAAAAAACGAATATTTTTAGAGGTTTTGTTTTTGTCATAGAATAATGCTAAAGCAAAACAAATGTGATATTCGGAATCAGCGTAAAAAACTGCATCTAACCATATATATTTCGCCCAAAGATTTTTCCTAACCAAAATGGACCTGAGGGGGACCAGGGAGAAAAATTATTTTTAATATAGCTGTGGGGGACCACAGGTCCATTTTGGTTAGGAAAAACTTTTGGGCGAAATATATATGGTTGGATGCAATTTTTCACGCTGATTCCGAATATCACATTTGTTTTGCTTCAGCATTATTCTATGACAAAAAAAAACTCTAAAAATATTCGTTTGTTATCGAAAAACCATCAAAAATTAGGCAATATATACCCTTTTTCGCAAAGATGAAAACTTTTTTCTCAAATAGTTTTTTACCGTTTTGTAGAGAATGAAAAACTGCACAACATATATAAAATTCAGCCTGGGATCTCTTCATGCTGAAACACAGCACGAGTTATACTGTTTATTTGCACTGATCAAAAGGACTACCCCTTGACTCATATTTGCTCTATAAAAGTTAAATTATTAGCCATTATATTATATCAACCTAGCTCATTTTATTCAGTTTTCAATTCTCTATCTTCCTATGTATACCACAAAAAATTTCAATGATTTACTGAAACGCAAGCTAGTAGATCTTTTATAGAATATTTTTTCTTATTTTTCCACAAAAAGGTCCGATAGTGCCAAAAGTTGGTCTTGGCTAACTTTTCATAGGAAGAGTATTAGAACCTAAAATTTTAGGGTTAGTAGTTTTAGACATTGAGGTTTTGAATGAGCAAAAAAAAATCGAAAAAAAAATTTTATTGAGTGCCTCGTATACTCGATGCTCTCATGGACGCTCTGTTAATTTAGAAAGATAAACTATAGCAAGTTCATCATCAGGAAAAAAAAACAGTTAATGAGAAAAGATTTTTTTAAATATACTATTTTCATCAGTAGATGGTTTTGTCGGAATCAATTAATTAACTACAAATGAATAAATAATTTATTTTATTATTTCCGGTATAAAAATGCAATAAACTTAAACAATAATTTTTCAACCAATAATAAATTTTAAATAGAACTATATTAATTGTTCTCATTTTTCAAAATAGTATATTTTCTAACTTTAAAAAAAAATAAAACAAAGTTCAAAATTATCATGTATAAAAATAGTGTTCTTCAAATATTGGGAAATCTTATCTTTTATTTGCATATGTTTTTAGAGTATAGGTAAAAAAATTATCATTGAATACTATGATAGTCGTCCTAATTTGAAAAACTATTTTTTTTTTGTATCGAAATAGAATTTTTCAATAAAATCTTAAAATAATAAATTGTTTCATTAATCGAAAAAACATTTTAAGTTGATTGATTATAGCCATGTACCGTCACTTGAACTTGGATTCGTCGTTCTAGAACTATTAAGCCAATGTTGACAGTTTCAAGTATTTGCATGACTATCCAAGCGTTTCTTGATCAATATAGACATTTATGACAGAATATTAAAGTTCGATCAAATCTGAGTTCAAGTATTTCTGAACATTGTTGACTTTCCTTTTGAAATGCTACTTCGATTTTCTTTCATTAATTATCTGAAAATAACAACAGTCAAAGCTGATGTTCAACCGAACTCATTCTATTCGAACGGCCTGGCTCAATGAATTCTAGCGAATTATAATCCTAAATACGATCCTATTGTTTATATTAATTTATTTTCATATAGATCAGTGAAAGCATGAGAAATTTTAAAAAAAAACTTTTCGACTTCAATGCTTTTCATGAGAGAAAAAAATCAAGTTCTATCGACTTTATAAACACAAAAATAAACTGAAATTTTTTCATATGAAGAAAATATTGATTTCATGTCCAGTACCATCCAGTGGGGGATTTAAGAGAGAGACGAAGGCAACAATCGTCTTCCTCTTTGAAAATTCATGTATATTATACTCTAAATATCTTTGTATTTCTACAAGATTTACAGACATACATAATGTGTATTTCTCATTATTTTAAAGTTTATCGTGTTTATATTCTCAAATAAACGGTTTGAATGTAGGACAGCAACTTATATATGTTGTACATAGTATTATTGCATTTATCAAATA